GGGAGGTTTAGATTGGACATGAGGAAAAATTTCTTCACTGAAAGGGTTGTCAAGCATTGGAACAGGCTGCCCAGGGAAGGAATTCACCATCCCTGGAGGTATTTAAAAGGCGTGTAGATGTGGTGCTTAGGGACATGGTTTAGTGGTGGACTTGGCAGTGCTAGATTTACAGTTGGACTCGATGATCTTAAAGGTCTTTTCCAACCTAAACGATTCTGTGATTCTATCTGCTGTATCAAGGCTGTACTAAATTCCTAATCACAACTCAGAACTGTCCGTCATTTTGCAAGACTGTATTTCTGTCTGTGGAGCGATAAAACAAAGGGGCTTTATTAAACTAATTATAAATGTACTGTGATTGCTGCAATGAGGTTTTTTTTCCACAGGAGGCTGAACTCACCTGGATCTATCAGTGCTTTTCAAGAGCAATTACAAAAGAAGCATCAGGGACTGAGTAAAAATGCCTTTTAGCTGTGCATGATATGTTCATGTAATGAAATATGAAGAGCTCTAATCAGATGCGCTCAGGGCTGCTCACATTTCCCCAAATAGGGCCGGTGGGAACTTTATGAGATCCCGTATGGGACTCACGGTAATAATGGAATAGATTTTTATCTCATTTGTCCAGCAAGGAGAGAAGGCATTGCTGAAGCAGTCATTTCCCAAAATAGAATAAATAAAAACATTTCATCAGGAGGAAGAGATGTATCATTCACACTATAGGAGTGTTTGAACCAGGTCCTTCTCACCTCTTTACATATCGTCAGTCTGTATTTTATCGGAAGAACAAATGTTTTCTTACAGTGTCTTCAGTGTCTGAATTAGCAGCTACACAAACAATTCATAGAGTTGTTGCTAACTCACAGGTAATGTGCACTCTCCCTTGCTAATATACTCCTCTACACTGTAAGCATGGGCATTTCATTCAGGTTTTCTTAACTGAAGGCCTAATTAACTTAAAAAAATATTCCTAACCTTGAAAAGCAGCTTCAATTTTGCTGCTCCTGTTTTAGACCGGAAAAGGGGTGGTTATATACCAAAAACAGAGATCCGGGAGCAGGCGGTATAAGCTGGTGCAATATATTTTATGCTATCATGGCTCAAGACTGGTATTCAAGAAGATCAACAGTAATCAAACTTTTATTGTTACAGCTAGAGTAGTGATACGTTAAGGGCCAAGTGTGTATCTCAAGAAAAATGAAAAAAAAAACCAAACCTTTTACTGCATATTCAAAATGAAAAAAAATGGTGGGTGGATTCAATAATTATTGTTGGCAATGTGAGACAACCTAAATAGAAGACTAGTCTCTCATTACTGGCAGTGCTGATTCCCTCTGTGTCTGCGTCTCCTGTTTTGGACTCCCACTAGTGCCTCCGCTTTCCCTCCTATCTGCTTGTTCCCATCAGCTTGCAGCTTCCCATAGCTGCTTCTGAAACCAGTTTGACTTTTTCTTCTCTATTGGCATTATTTAACATGGATGTCTCTTCCACCATGTATATTCTTACTGATCTGCAGTCAAAATGTGTAGGAGTTCCACCACTGGGGTAATTAATCACAGAATCTCATTTACATTGTCCCTTGTTGCTTCCTTACTGCAGTCTACGTAAGATGAACTTTAAAGAGTTGCCTACTCCTGTCTCCTCACAAGCTCGGTTTCTATAATTCCAATAACTTTTTTTAATCTGTTCTATATCAGTTGGGTTCTATCCCAGTAAATTGATGATAGGCGGACAAGTAGTGGACATTGTTGTGTGTACATGCTCATGAAGTTTTTGCATGGAACTGCAGTTGCACAAATGAAGATGGCCTTGTAATCTTCACGGGTTTGTGAAGATTTTTTGACAAAAGCCATCTTTTAGCACTTTTAATACGGGATGCTCTGTAACTTTGAAATTTCCCTCCAGTTAAATGTAGAGAGAAACGAGCTTGAAAAAACTTTTCCTGAGTCTTTTTTAAAGAGTTTTCAGAGTCTCCTTTTATTTATCATTTCTGTGATTCATTCAATGCAGGATGAAGTCTTACTATCTCTGCATTCTTTTTTCAAAGCTGTCTGTTCAAAACAATTTTTTTTTCCCCTTCCTTACTGCTTTTGAGTTCTGTCCTCTTACGTTCCTAAAGTTCTCTGAAGTTCACCATATCAAAGACTCTATCTGACAGGGTCTTGATTCCATTTTTGATAATATCCTTACTGTACTTCTGAGCTTAACTGTTGCAACTTCTGATTCTTCATGAATTTGCTGCTGCCTGGCTCTTCACATACGTCAAAGAGCAGCAATCTTATGAAGAAATATCAGGGCATGTGGGACACAAAAAACATGAATTCCAGGTGCCTCTCTGAAGGGAATGTCAAATAGGGACCGTGATGCCCAAACCTCACTGACTGCTGTAGTTAAAATGAACCTTA